TTTAACCTGGATGCCTTTTATTTCCCTTTCCCGTCATAGTACTCTGGCTAGAGCTTCAGTGAAATGTACAGAAGTGTTGGGTGTGGGCATCCTTTCCCTGCTCCTGATCTTAGGGGGAAACATTCAGGTCTTCACCACTAAGTGTGTTGTTTGCTGTGGGTAGATGTCCTTTATCAGGCTGAGAATAGTCCTCCTGTTCCTCCCCATGCCACAACAAAGCTGTGCAGCCCGTGAATTGTCAGAGGGCACCTGAATTCCTCCTCACTCTGAGCCCAGAGACGGAGGGTGCACCGCAGCCTGTGCTCGCCCACAGCGTCTCGGGTCCCTGGAGCAGCACAGTTTCCAGTGCTGTCCTACACAGCACCTCAGGGACACAGCTCATTGTGGTCTCGCTTCCCCCTCTCCCGGCTTGACCCGCACCTGGGCCCTGGCTGGGCACAGCGACCACCCATTATACCCCTTCCTAGACACTGAGGGCAAAGATCTCCTTTGCCTGTAAACATAGCCTCCTATGGGGAAGAACCAGGAGTCCACGATTCCAACCAAGACAGACTGAGCCCCATTGAGATGAGCTGCGGCTCCCTGTGTACTAATGAGACATGCTCACTCATTCACTCATGCACTCATTCATTCACTCATCCTCATTCATTCATCCAGGACACTAGTGATTCCTTCATTAACCAGTTCAACAACTGTTTCTGGGGGGAATGGGATCTGGGCATGGCAAACAGTCACCGCAGTGGGAGGAATAAGCTATCAGGGAGGGAGGAGAAGGACACGTGGCCAGTTTGCCAATGAGACAGAGGCTGGAAGAAAAGAGTCAGTGAGACCGAGGCTGGGTTGGGAGAGAGTTTATTTAGTGCTGCCCCCAGATCCATTTTAGGTTTCCATAGATACGCGTGGTCATTCTGGTTACAGGACATCCATCTGCAAGTGCCATGGAACTCCTGGCAGACACAGGAAAGAAGGGTTTGCTCTCTCCCATGGAATTATCAGGAAGGGGAATTCCAGGAGCCTCCTTGACATGAGGGTCGTGTCCAGGTGCAGTCCGGCTGAGACACATCGCGGCATGTGGGAAGGAGGGGCAAGAGTGCCTGGGTCATGGGATACCCTTATAGGGAATAGGCAGGGAGTGGGTCATTCCATTTCCTCAAGAGCTGGAAAAAGAAGCCCTGAGCCAGGGGACTCATTGCTCAGCTCTGGAAGAGGATATGCGTCAGGGGTAGTCACCTGTTGGGAAGAACAGATCTTCAGGAGCTACCTGAGAAATCCCTCTAGAGCTTCAGATCTTGCATTGACAGCACACGGGGACACAGCAGCTGGATTGGGAACAGCAGGGCTTGCAGCAGCTGGACTGGGAACAGCAGGGCTTGCAGCAGCTGGACTGCGAGCAGCAGGGCTTGCAGCAGCTGGACTGGCAGCAGGATGACCCACAGCCTGAGGTGCAGCAGCAGGGCTTACAGCAGCTGGACTGGCAGCAGGATGACCCACAGCCTGAGGAGCAGCAGCAGGGCTTGCCGCAGCTAGACTGGGAACAGCAGGGCTTGCAGCAGCTGGACTGGCAGCAGGATGACCCACAGCCTGAGGAGCAGCAGCTGGGCTTACAGCACCTGGACTGGCAGCAGCCACAAGAGCCACAGCCTCCCTTGGATCCCCCATAGGAGCCACAGTCCCCCTTGGATCCTCCACAAGAGCCACAGCCCCCCTTGGATCCCCCACAGGAGCCACAGCCCCCCTTGCAGCCCCCACAAGAGCCACAGCTGGAGCAGGAACAGGCTGGCACACAGCAGCACATGGGCTTGCAGCAGCAGATGGGCACACAGCAGCTGGAGCCACAGCCCCCACAGCCAGAGCCACAGCCCCCACAGCCGGAGCCACAGCTCCCACAGCCAGAGCCACAGCCCCCACAGCTGGAGCCACAGCTTCCGGAGCAGCCACAACAGCCCATGTTTCTGGTGGATAGAGGATGGAGCAGGTAGAGGAGCAGGAGAGAGAGAGGCGCAGGTGTGGAGCCCCCTGAGCCCGGGCTCTTTATATTCCTGTCCAGGGGTCAGGTGGGCCACAGGGGCCCTTCCTAGTTCCTGCTAAAGTACTTTCCCCAGGAAACTTTTGCGTCTCTTGTGTCATTTAAAATGACAACAATGCTGTGTTGCCTTGTGACCCACTTCCTCCTCCTACATAGTTTTCGTCTCTAAACCCTGAGGCCCCAAGTCCTCCCCTCTGAGGACCCCCAGGAATGAGTAGAGCCTGGTTTATTCCTTCCCCTTTCCTTGGACCCCAG